ATCATTTATTTCAAGGTTTATTTAAGCTTTATTTCAACATATTAATGTATATACATAGATTTGTTTCAAGATTAGTTTTTATTTCTATACAAAAATGTTTTATTTTAATTATTTAAATCATTATTATATAAGATTTATTTATTTCAGAATTTACTTAAATTTTTAAACATTTCTAAATGTTTGTATTTATTCATAATATTTTTAGATTTGAATATTTATTACTTATGATATATTAAATAAATATAGACCGAAATAACATTTGTTTTTTATGATGTAAAATATGATTATGTGAAATACTGGACATTTATAAAATAATATGAACCTCTCCTTTCGTAATATTGAGCCCTGGGCGCCAGTCACATAATAGACGGCCCTGGTGACGCACAGCGGCAGGCAATGAAGGGGTGGGGGGGGAGAGTAACGGGATTACCTAACGGGACAGCATTAATGGCGCGAGCTCACTGCTCCTCTTCCTGCCGTCACGTTCAGTCTGCCTCGTGCGCAGCTCGTTTTAGATCAGGAAGCAGACATGAAACGATAAGAACCGCTCCGAATCAGTTCGGGACCCCGGCGAGGCGAGCTGTCCGGAGGAAGGCAGTGAGACAGCGCTACACACCGGAAGCTGCAGTGATTGCTTTTCAAAAGAAAACAAACAGAAAAAACAAAACAAACATTTCCAGAAACCAAAATTTAAAACAAAGAAACAAGTAAAAAATAAAAATAATAATATAGAACCACCTGATTTGATGAATTTTTTACATGACACTAAAAGCCAACCTGGTGGATTAAGCTGCGCTGTAACTCCATCTACAGACTGAATCTAGTTATATAGAAACATAAAAAGTGTTTCATCTCTTCCTATTTTTTCCTTCATATTTTTAAGTTGTGCTTTTTTTTTTTCTTGAGCTGCCATTGACCAAAAATGCAGAGTATTTAAAGTTGTAGGGAAGTCATATTTAAATTTCAAATCATTCTGGCTTAAACATGTATATAAATTAGTGCTGTCAATCGATTAAATTTTTTTAATCGCGATTAATCGCGTCAATGCCTGAGTTCGCATTTTAATCGCAAATTTTTTTTCTGATTGAAAATCATTTAAATACTCTCGATGACATACAAAAAATACATATAGGCTAGGTTTGTGCCAATGTTCTTTTTTTAAAATGAAAACAGGTCACAGACACTGATTTATGCCATAGAAACATATGGCAAGAAGATGGGGAGGCATGTAGCAAAAAATAACAAATATGTAGCCAAAAAAAGGCCCTGAAAACAGGCTGATGTAAAAGACAGTCTTTACAGTTAATACAGTCTTTTGAACAAAGACAAGCATTTTACCCTACTGCTATAAAATGTAGTACAGTTAACATTAGATGTTAATTAACCAAGATAATAATGAAAAATTTTCAATCAATACATCAAAATCAATAGACCGACATCACTAGATGGAGGTAGTCTATGCTCTAGAAAGTTACTTTTCAGCCTCTTAACAAAAATGAGAACACACACACACCCACCCACCCACACACAGACACACACACACACGATACCGACCTGTGGCGTACACAGACAGCAAGTGTGCCGTAGCAGATTCCATTTCACCTCAGTAATCTGTTTTCTCAGCGTATTTCAGGTTGCTACTAGTTACCAGACACTCAACTTGTTTGTTGGTGGTGGGGCTTAAAGAAAAGGCACTAGCGCTACCCAGTGTATGAGCGTCTTTTTTCCTTGAGGAGCTCCGCTCTCGAAGCCTATGGAAAATGCATGGACTGGGGGAAAATAGCCCCGCCTTTCCGCAGGCTGCAGCGGGATGTACTTGGAAAATTGTACCATAAAACCACATAGCGTTAATCTCACGTTAAAAAAATTATCGCCGTTAAAATGGCCTCGCGTTAACGCGATAATAACGCGATAATTTTGACAGCACTAATATAAATGTAATCTTTATCAGACTATGTTGTCCCAAAATTTAGAAAATGTAAAAAAAAAAAATCCTGTCTTAAAATCTGTGTTTTTCTTTGTTATCTTCTGCAGGCCAGTTAGTTCTACGTCAGCCTGTACACCTAAATTCAGCCAATCATATATCAACGATCATCTGTCAATCACATTTTTTCTGTCACAGCATCTTGATTGTCGCAGCTAATATACGCAACGGTTGAAATCAGAATCCTTTCCTTTCCCATTGAGTTGCGTCCCAGTGTTCACGGGGATGGACGTCTGTGTCTTCGGCAGGCGTAGAGCTAACAGAACTGGCAGCGTTGCGAGGCAAGGGCTCAAACATGTACGGCTGGAAGCCTTCTACACCAAACCAAGCTTCTGCCGCCCTGGCGTCCTCTTCCACAACATCTTCGTCCCCGCTTTCCTCCTCTAAATAAAAAATGGATGACGGAGGAGACTCATCCACGACCTCCGACACTAAACTATCCTCCTCTTGCATGTTTCCTCTGTCCATAGCGTTCCTTGACAGCGTCGTTTCTAAGTCACCAATTTAGTGCTACTTGGTCCCAATGGAATTTCCCGTTGGGAACCTGCTAGCACTAAGTTGCTAACTGGTTAGCAAGATGCTACCGACAAACCGGCTACAACCAAATGGGCTTGCAAACCTTCCGCCACAACAATCCCGCCCCCTTGATAATCGACCAATCACATTCACTTTATTCACTCGTGTAAAGTCGGGCACCACTCAGGAGAATTTGGAAATGCAACGGTTGGAACAGCCGCTTCCCTACGACTTTAAAGTAAAATTTAAAGAATCTACATACCTACATTATACTTTAAGTGATGCAAAATTACTTAAAAAAATAACAAAACAAAAATAGTCTTTTGAACATAGAAATGATTTATTTTCCTCTTTTGGTCACTCTATTGGTGGAGAGAACATAAAACATACGGACTTGTCTGGTTGTAAATTAAAATCTCAAACAGGATACTAGATTAAACTGATCCGAAATCCTGCATCAGGAGCTGGACACTTTTAAAGATCTGCTATTTATCACAGCATTAAAGTCGCAAATAGTGCTAAAATAAAAAAAAGAGTGTGAAACCTAAAAATTGTGTAAAATTTAAAAAAATGATACATTGTAATTTATAATGAAAGAAACAAAATACCAAAGTAATTTAGTAAAACGCAAAATGTATGTTATTTAAGTAGAAAATGTGTTTTTCTGGTTCAAAAGTGTTTATTTCACATCAAGTAAAATGCAAAAATAATAATAATTACTAGTATAAAAAAAACACCTGAAATATTTATAAAGAAATATTGGACATATATAACTTTTTTCATTTTTATCATGTGGTACATTATAATTGTTTTTTTCTATTTAGTTTTGTTATTGAAACTTAATTCTACAATCTTTAAATGTCCAAGCTTCTGATTCATTTAAGTGTTTAATCTATTCAGCACTTAAAAAAAAATCTTAGTCTGCTGTTTTTTGTTTTGTTTTATTTTTTACATTCATAGTCACTTAATTTATAAGGCACCAAATTATAACAAATGTCATCTTAAGAGAAACATGCCCAGTTTCCAACCATTTAAAAACTTTCCTTTTTGATAAAGCTTATAGTTAGAGTGGCTCAGATTATCCTGAGTTCTGCTGCTATAGGCCTAGACTGCTGGAGGACATAGGGACCCCTTTTTCATCATTCTGCTTCATTTTATCTCTATTCTCTGCAGAATCTGTTAGTTCAATCTCTAACGTTCTGCTCTCTCTGCTTTTTCTCATAGTAGCTTCATCTGGTCTGTTCCTGTTTGGCTGTGACTCCATCTTGGAGAGAAATATCAGCTGTGCTGCTGCCATCAACACCTTTGTTTCTAGATGTTGGAGCTTGGCCTGTTTTCCAGTGTAGTCCTGTTTCTCTGACTGTGACTAACTGGATGTGCTCTCTTCATCCTCTGACATGGGAGCTGGCTCGGAGCTCGTCTGCCTGGCTGTGTGTTTCCTGGACGGGACCGCCTTTTGTGTCTCTCCTTCTGTCTCCTTGAACCCCAGTCGGTCTCAGAAGATGGCCGCTCACACTGAGCCTGGTTCTGCTAAAAGTTTCTTCCTGTTAAAAGGGAGTTTTTTCCCTCTCCACTGTCGCCACAAGCATGCTTAGTGTGAGGGATTGCATTCGAGTCAATGAGACGTGTTGTGAATTGGCGCTATAGAAATAAACTGAATTGAATTGAATTTATTTCGGCCCCAAACCAGTTAAATGATCATATGAAGACATTTAATTTAAATACAACTCCAGATGACACAAATGAAAATGAAGGAGCCCATCATTCATTTCAATAAAAATCATTTGATCAGGAATTACAGATTATTAATTTATTTGTCAAATCAGCAGAGGTCATATGTTTGCGCCATTTTGCCGTCCTGGGAAGGATCCAGCAGCAGAATGACCTCTACAAGGTATTACATAATACTTTCTGTGTTTTATTTTGAAAATCTCTGCAGGAAGTGCGTTGTTTTCATTTTAATTTGACACCAGTGCCTGTCAGCCTTTACTGAGATGCCGGCTGCCGTCCTCCTCACAGGGCACTGCGCTGTAGTCAGCATGCCAGTCGCCTGCCGGGGCTCACCCACCGTGTACCTGCGTGGAAACAAGGCTTTCACCAGATAGAGGACACCAACCTGGACACTTTGTCCTGTCCTGCAACCATGGATTTATTTCACTCTGCTGCACCCTGCAATGAGATGACAAGTGGACTGAATGAATTAGAAGTTGGATGTGGACACAATCATCGTGAGCAAGAAGAAGAGGAGAAGAAAGCAACAAAAGCCAAAGGAAGCAGTCTCTGATGCTAATGGACAGTTTGGCCTACATACTGCAGAGCTCAGTGGATGCATCTCTTAGACATTCCTGCTGCTTGCATGCATCAAAAAGCTGCTGATGTACCGTTCAACTTTGTAGGACAGTCCAGCAATAAGAGATCTTTGAGTTTACCTGCTGCTGCAAAACTATGCATTACCAGATACATGAATGTGCACCTGATAAAAAAAGAGACCTATGCAATGGGATTAGGTTTACATAAGCTGGATGTTTGATAATGTTCCCAGGGGGGTCACTGAGGAAACCCAGTGAAGAAAAGGAAGTGTTCTTTAATGCTGTGTGTGCTGGGCATTGCACCAGATCTCGTCTCTCCTTTCTCTGGATTAATCCTCACTTTGTTAGTGTAAATTGGCCAAGAACTCACAAGGCCTGCACTGGATGCTGTAATCATTGATCCTGCAGGAGCTGGACTGAACTGTCCTTTAGATCCTCGCAAGCCGTTAACACCTCACATGCTTCACCAACCATGCAGTTCCGAGAGCAACCAGGAAGTACGGCGTAAAGGTTACTGGCTGTTACTCTTTGTTGGTGGCAGAAACACTCTTACCTCACCATGCTTCTAAACTGTGGTCAGCCGTTGCCTCTGCTGAGTCACACGGATGTACCCCCCCGTGTCACAGAAAACTTCATCCTGACAGGGTATCGCTTCCCAAACTACAGCCTGAGGGAATGCTTGTTGTCTGCGTTCAGGCCCACCAATGAAACGGGCAACTTCTGGACACACTTTCTTCCCATTTTCATTTTTGCTTACTACTTTGTGGAGGTGTTTGGTTGGGATGGGGCCCCTGATGCCGACGCCCCATTCTTTTACCCTATGTGGAACTACTTTATTGGGGTTTTTTGTCTGCTCATGGCCAGCAGCTTGGCCCACCTACTGAACTCTATGTCTCTGGTTGTAAGGGAGGTTTGCTTTTTTGTGGATTACGGCACAATTAGCGCCTACACCGTTGGCTCGTCGCTGGCATACTACTACTACATCCATCCTCGTGCAGGTATAGTGGAGAGAGGACAGCGGAACAGCTCCCATTCGGCCCTGAATCGTGAGGATGAGGGGGTTCTTGCATCCTCACCAATGCCAGATATTAGTCTGTTCTTTGAGAACTACTATATGCCGTGTGCATGTGTTATAGCCATCATATGCGTCTTATCCTGCTGCAACACCCGCCAGAGGTGGAGGGAGCATCGATACATCATTCGGACCCTGGTTTTCCTCCTGCCGTTCCTCATGTCTTCCACTCCTATCTTTTACCGTTTCCTCACCACCTCGCCGTACTCCACCACCTCATCCTCCTTTGCTGCCTCGACAACCATGCCCTGCTTCTTCTACCGTCACTCTCTCTGGCTGCTGGTGTCGGCCCTGTTTAACATCAGCAAGGTCCCAGAGAGACTGGCCCCTGGCCGTTTCGACATATGGGGCCACAGCCACCAGTGGTTCCACTGCTGCACGTTTTTGTCCATCCTTGACGAGCTCCACATGATCCAGGCTGAGGTGAGGGCCATCCTGCTCAACCCTGATTTCCTCTTACCCCCCACCACGCTGTCCCCCCTACCCGGACCTACCGTTGCTTCCACCTACGGACTCATGTTCCTCCTCCAGACTACCATTATCTCAATCATCGTGGGTTTCTCCTGGCATGCAAACTCTATCTACGGCCCCCAGAGAGACCAACTAAAGAAGGAACATCCATTTAAACACATGAAAGTCAACTGATCCAGTAGAGGTCATTCTTCTTTACTGTGAAAGATGATTTGCACATGCCCTCAAAGCCATACCATTAATAACTGCTCAAGAAAACAATTTTACCAATTTGATTCCAAGTCTCTAATGTGTTCCGAGTCCCTCTGGACCCATTAAGAAGCTTTCATAAGGACCTAGGGGACAAGAGGAGATGAAAGGTTATTTCTGGGCTCTCCACAGGGAAGCTGTCTTGTCGAGAGGATATTGAAAATCTCTGCCAGTTATTTTTTTCCCCAGAGCACCTTCAGCATGTTCCAACAGGATGTCTAACTGTGGAGGATAATGACTACTGCAGTTGGCTGAGCTCTGGAGGATTTGTGAGCTACAGGACTCTAGTGCCGGATTCTGGTAACATTTTGGAAATGTCACTCTGCCGTTTCTAATTCCTCTGGTCTGGTCCATTCTTTAATTGCACTTCCCTTTCCTCTATTTAGTATTTAACTATATTCATTTTTTAAATTTAGTGTAACCCTAACTGTCTTTCTTAGTCATTTCCTCATCATGAATTGTTTAGCGTATCCTTTTGTGGCCTTCAGGAAGTCTTGGGTTGTCTCATTTCCCCTTTCTTGAGCCCTGCAGCAGGAAGTTGCATGGCCTTAAAAGACGGCAACACAAACAGCTGAGACCTCGTATAAATCACATAATAAAGCACTTTCAGGGGCCAGTGAGACTAGCCCCGTCTTTAAAAAGCCATGTTCACTTTCGAATCTGAAAGGATGTTTTTGCAATTTAAAGGCATATTATGATCTCCTGCTGTAAAAGTCATCGTTTTCTTTAGATGTGAAACATATTCGTGGTGCATTTAATGCATTTGCTGCATCTCTAACCAGCTTTCAATCACATTTAGGCACCTGTCCCCGTCTTATTCAGATGTATTTCTTTTCTTTCATGTTAGAAATGAAGGTTTTCTTTACTATGTGAGTTGGACAATGATTGACTTGGATTGTAGCTGTTCACTGAGTACTTTCTTCCTCAGAGTTTAGTTTTTGTTAAAGTTGGGTTCTTGCGGACGTTATCAGTTGATGTAATCTTACCTGCAGTAACTGCTTACTTTAATGACTTCAGCTTATATTGACGGAAAAAGAAGCTTGTGTCAGACCAAACTGGATCTTGCTGTGTTTACGATTTTATGGCGGCTCAATGGTATTTCCTAAGCTCTTGAATTTCAATCATATATTGTATCAGACAATTACTCACATTTGAATCTACTGTTATTTACAAAAAGGTCTATATAAATCACAGACTTCAGTTATGATGTCCTCATGGAAAACCACATTTGAGGATCCTACCTGCTAGTAAATCATAATCTGATATGAAATAATAAATGCTGTTATATTGCAGCAAATTATGGCCAATTGGACTTTGATCATACATTTTTATAGCTCTTACACTCTGGCAACTTTAACCAAATCACACTCACAGTCATATACTAGATAGATCATTAGCCAACTTGGTGATAAATGCCTTGCCACTGGAACTATAAACAACGACAGGAGGGAACAGGAATCAAACCTACAATCTTTCAAGTGGCAACTTCATTGCCCACAAATTAAGACTATATCTATCTTTAAACTGCATTTTCAGAAGCAGTTTTTAATGTTTCTGTTTAGGACTCTATTATGGTCCGTTTTATAAGTCATGTTTTTTCCTATTTAGTTAAGGAGTTACTCACTGCTGGTAAGACAGTAACTAGTTAACCTCCCTATATAACTCTACTTCGAAACCCAACGAATCCATTTAAAGTCGTAGGGAAGTCATATTTAAATTTTAAATTATTGTGGCTTAAACATGTATATAAATGTACTCTTTAACAGAATATATTTTCCCAAAAGTTAGAAAATTTATTTTTAGCAAAAAAAATTCTTTCTTAAAATCTTTGGGGTTTTTTCCCGTTATCTTCTGCAGACCAGTTAGTTATACATCAGCTTTTACTCCTAAATTGGGCCAATCAAATATCAACGATCATCTGTCAATCACCTTTTTTCAGTCATAGCATCTTGATTCATATGTCGCAGCTAATATACGCAATGGTTGAAATCAGAATCCTTTCCTTTCCCATTGAGTTGCGTCCCAGTGTTCACAGGGATGGACGTCTGTGTCTTCGGCAGGCGTAGAGCTAACAGAACTGGCAGCGTTGCGAGGCAAGGGCTCAAACATGTACGGCTGGAAGCCTTCTACACCAAACCAAGCTTCTGCCGCCCTGGCGTCCTCTTCCACAACATCTTCGTCCCCGCTTTCCTCCTCTAAATAAAAAATGGATGACGGAGGAGACTCATCCACGACCTCCGACACTAAACTCTCCTCCTCTTGCATGTTTCCTCTGTCCATAGCGTTCCTTGACAGTGTCGTTTCTAAGTCACCAATTTAGTGCTACTTGGTCCCAATGGAATTTCCCATTGGGAACCTACTAGCACTAAGTTGCTAACTGGTTAGCAAGATGCTACCGACAAACCGGCCACAATCATACTTGCTTGTGAACCTTCGCCACAACAATCCCGCCCCCTTGATAATAGACCAATCACATTCACTTTATTCACTCTATTAAAGTCGGACACCACTCAGGAGAATTCGGAAATGCGACGCTTGGAACAGCCGTTTCCCTACGACTTTAAAGGAAAAGTCTGGTCATATTTAGAATTCAAACTTCTGAAAGTAATTAAACACGAAATTATTACATACTGCTCAATAAATGATAAGCATTTTTAATTAAGAGTTATTTTCATTTGTATGTGCAAAAATGGCCACTCCCAGACTTAGTGATCGCGATAAAAATTGTTTTGTATTGCTGTTATTTTTTTTCTGAATAACGCTAAATTCATTAAATTACTGCAAATATCTTAGTTTTTGGTATAAATAACGATCCATTGATTTTTCCTTGCTGACTGGACTTTTCCTTTGAAGCCACTATTTCTTTTTTGTTATTCAGACATATGATAACAATTAAAAAAATTATAACAAATGTATCTTAAGTCTCAGTTAATACAAAAAAAGGACAGATTTATTAGCAAAAAAAAAAACAAAACAATGGAGAGGAAATGCATGAGTTTCACATGATCTTAAGGTATGTATGCTGAATGCAGTAATGATTCGGCAAATATGCTCGCATCGGCTGATTAGAAAAAAAAAAAAATTGCCGTATAATATGAACTGTATCTTAGAACATAGAACTAAAGTTGGCTGGTGTTTAAATGTAGAAATTTTATTCTGAACTCTGCACATTTACTTGCAGTTACTTGCACAGGAGAAAGTGAAAAGAAATGAAAGCTGCTTGTCATGAAACAAAATGTGTAATAGTGCACTTTAAAGCGTCCGCATAGCTTTTCATATATATATGTAGGGACATTTTTAAAATATTTGAATTGTCAATCAAGGGCAGAATTCCTGTTTGTTTAAATGAGGGCCCTTTTTTTCCACAGGAACCTAGTAGTAACGTTCCTTGAAAAACACAAGGTTACGGTAATGGCCGTGTTACTGTGTGTTACAAAGTATACGGCAATAAATCTAAATCTAGATAAGTCTTATTTTTCTTAAAATGAGTGCATTTGCTCTTGAATTGAGGAGGTAAAAGAACCATTTTGCCAATGGAACAGGACAATTTACACTTAAAATAAGAAAACACAATTGCATTGTCTTATTTCAAGTGCATATTATCTAATTATCTTATTTTAAGAGTAAAAATACTCATTCCATTGGCAAACTATCTCCTTTACCTACTCATATAAAGGGTGAATACACTTAATTTAAGAAATGTTTACTTATTTCTAGATCGTTTTTGCAGTGTAGAGTGCACTAAGTTTGTGAACAGCTGGTAATAATAATAATTAAGCATATAGTAGCTAATTAAAACAGTGTGATTGATTAAAATGTTCTTAGATAGCATACGTTTCCGTTGGTAATCCATTTATTTTGTATTTAAAACACTTGCTGGATGTCAGTAACAACATAATTCCTGGTATTCATTTCTCGAAGTGGGTTCTGGAAATATTGTAATAGAAAGGTTTCATCAACAGTGCAAAAAAGGTGCAAACTGAAAGCTCTAATGCACTAATGTTTTTTTAACCTTTCAGGACTGAAATTATTGGTTGTAAACACGTGGAAAACAACCCGAGCTGTACTGTATCATGTCAGTTAACTAGTACTTTCCAGCGGGCTGGCTGAGGGATCCATCAGATTATGCAGCTGGTGTTGAAGCTTTGTTTCTACCTCAAAACAACATGTGTGTCAGTCATTTTGCGAGTGAAAGGAAGAGCCGTTGAAACAGACTTTGTTCCCAGTTCTGCACCAACCCCATTATTGTAGGTGAATGTTAACGTCAGATTGCTTTATCTTACTTAGTCATGTACTCAGGGGTGACTCAAGGGTGACTCTAATGCATTATTTAGACATGCATTTAATTATGGATTAGTAGAGAAAGAAAATGCACCGAATGATTTTTGCGCTGTAAAAATCTCAACTGTTATGATCAATAGCACTTTTACTTATCATTAAAGTGATTTTGAATAAAGTACAAAGGAAATTGTTGTGTTTTTATTTTAGCTTTGTGGTACATTTATCTGTAGGGTACATAATCTACTTAAAGGTCAGGGTACTTAATTTAACTTAAAGGTAAAGTGGTGGATTGTCACAATTTTTTTTTAAAAGACCCACCCTCTCCACATGCACATGCACAACCCTGTGCCCACTCCCGAGAGGGAATACCTAATAAATGCGCATGAGAGCATCCACAAGCCAGTTTCTCCTTGTGCATGCTCTTTTTAAAAGTTGCTATTTGAATAATACAAGCTTACTTTACTTTACTTACAAAAGAAAATTTGCAATTTTTCCTCCATGTCAGACTCACCACTGCTAAGTGAAAATGGGGACGAGCACGTAGGACGGCCTTATGTAAACATATCGCCAGAATGATTGACAATTAGGAGGACCACTTATTGAGATGATCCAAAAAAAAAAAAACATTCTCCATTATACCTTTAACACAAATAAATGCTCTTATTTTTACAGTTAGTTTATTCGTTTTTTTCTCAGTTAGCATAATGAAATTCCAAAACATATAAAATAGCTTACATGGTCGGCCCAATGGCCCTCTGAAGTCTACACACCCAAGTTTCTGCTCCAGGATGGTTAAAACAAAGACAATGATAAATCACATAATGTTGCACACATTCTGAAAAATGTAACTGAAAACAACCTGAGTTGTAAGAATAAAGAAATGTAATAAAATGAAATCAATGCAGCGATATGGGGGGACATGTATGCACCGTCTTCAAATACTTTGTTTTCCGTAGCTTCAGTCTAATTTAAAAATTTTCGTCTGCTTTGGGTGGAAAATGACTTTCTTAAAACAAAGTTAAGCTGTTCAGATAAGATTTCTCTCACATTTTTGTTTTTGCATCCTGTAGCTAAAGCCACAGTTTATAGAAAAGCTACCAAGCAGGGATGTCAAACTCAGGTCTTAGAGGTCTGGGTCAAAACACCAGAATCAAACAACTTAATTAGCTGCTCAGTTGAAGTCCAGCCTTCCAGGACTCTGCAGAGAACCAAATTTTTTGAACCGGGAGCACGGACACATCTAAACGGTGCAGGACATCGGCCCCTTGAGGACTGGAGTCTGACATCCCCGTTTTAGAGGATTGAAGTCATAGAAAATCCTCAACCAGGAGGAACTTAGACAGGCGGAACATGGCATTAATAACCATAAACATGGAGGGAGAATCTATCAAGGTTTGATGAGTCCAGATCTGAATATCTGAGACACAGATGCTGAAATATAATGCTGTGGGGTTACTCTCCTTCACTTTTGTAAAGATATATAATATCAAGAACAGTTTTCACAATAAAAGTCGGTTCCCCTTCTGAAACTTCAGGCCAAAAACTCAAACATACAGAGGCTATTTCAGTGTCACGATCCATGTCTTCATCATGATATGTTTTAGTTAACTTGTAAAACGTTGATGAGAAAAAAGAAAATGCAAAATAGCTAGCTAGGCTGAAAGATCCGCAATGGAGCGAGGTTTAGTTATGATACTCGGATTTCTCCTGTTTGGATTTGGAGGATACCTGATGCTTCTACAATTATAGAGGATGTCGGCGGCAATTTGGGCACTGATCAAGCTGCCGGCAGAACGTGCAGGATGAGCTGGGTAGTTACTATGCAGGATCGGCTGATGAGGCGGACCAATTCATTTGATACTGACTAGGACACTTAGAGAACTATAACAACAACCTGCTCGTTGCTGTGCAGATCAGCAGCTTCATGCAGACCCAGACATTGATCAGAACAAATGTGTAAGGTTTGAAAATACGTTTTCCCAAGTTTTGAATAATTCAAATTTCTTCAATTTATTTTCCTTGTTCTTCCTTGTTCCCTCAAAGCCTGGTGAGTTATTTATTTCTGGATACATCATGTAGGTGAACTGGACCTTGAGCTGCGTCATGCATGTGTGCATCACATGCAGCCGGCTTTTTATCCCCACTCCTCGGCTTGTCTGACAGAAGCTGCAAAGAGGTAGAAAGTTCTTAGTTAGGAGGTTTAGCTGCAATGCAACCCTGCTGCTAAAAAGGCTAAGGAAGTTGGAAGGACAAACAATTTGCACATAATGGAAAATATATGATGCTTGGAACTGAAATGTGATTTAGAGTTGTGCAACTGTAACACCAGGAGACTCTGCTTTTAAATAAAACATTGTTGAATCCTACAGGTTCCTCTTCTGCAGTGAAGTGAAAGAACAAACAGGTGACCTGACACCACCTGCTGCTTTGAATAAAGCAGCAAGGTCTGCCGCAACAGACAGTCATTAGTCTGGTCTTGATGGCTGAACTTTGCAAACCCCTTCATAATAACTCCTCTATATTTT